GGGGGGGGGGGGGCGGGGAGATCGGTCCATCGTGTGTGTGGTGAACAAGCCATACCACTGGCGATCGGTGGTACATAGCGCAAGCAGCCGAGCGCTACATGATGACGCATCTGTGGCAACCCCACCGACGAAACAAGGAGTTGAACTGAACACCAGCACTTTCCTTGAATGTACAAAGGGAGCCACCCTTGTTGTGCGTGGACGGCATGTAGTGTGAACCGACAACATAAAGAATGACTGGAAGCTCGTCCAGCAGAAATCAGTGCCGACCGAGACGCGTTGGAACCGTTGACAGGTTCCGGATATTTTCTGACGTCCCACGTGTTCGTGTTCCATATCCTTGCTCCGGGTGCGAACAGATGCCCCCCCAAGAGCCAAGACAGGGGGGGGCACGTCGTTTCCTTTCCTTCTAGGCAGTGGAAAAACACATTAAAAAAAAAAAACAGAGCGCGCGTCGGGTCTGACGGGGATAGGCGGCAAAGGGTTTCTCCGGGGAAACATACCTCCAAACTTTAAGGGCAAGTTGTCAGGTAGTCTCTCACCTCAAACTTGACTTGGAAGACGCCCATCCTGGGGTACCGGATGACAAACATGTCTTCGTCGCGACCGTGCAGCAGCATGTCCTCCTTCTCCACCACCCAGCCGCGCCGCATGCCCAAGGTCTCGAACCTCTTGGCCTGACCCGCGCCCTCTCGCACGTGGGTCGTCTCTACGCGCTTCGCCACGCGCCTGCCGACAAGCTGGTCCGTGCACTTCCACGCGGCGTACTCTGGGTTGCGTTTCCAACGCCTGCTCACACGAGAGGGAAACGGGAACGGGATACAAAGGACTTTTTTATGGGCATGTGATGCACGCGCTCTCTAAGGCGTGGCATGCAGTGTTTCAATTCGTCGCCGCACCCGTCATCAAACCGATGATCATGGTTCCGGCGGCTCACCACCACCCGGGAAAGACCAACACCTCCACAAAGGCAAAAAAAAAAAAAGCGATCGAAGAGAGGTGTGATAAGTAGCGCCCCCCCCCACCCCCGCGCGCGTTCGGCCCATTCCTTTCCCACGCTCTACCAGATCTCTCGCGTGTCCTCACCTGTAAAAATACTCAACAACGTCGCCGTACACCTTGTGCGGCAAGAACGCCGCACGAACTCGATGGAAATCTCGCCGGAATGCAAATATCCCCCGCCGAAACGCCGCTCGATCCTCCTCCGACCAATCCGACCGCCAACGCGCGCCCTCCCCCGCCATCACAACGGCCGCGAGGCCGTGCAGGCCGTCCGTATCCCTCTCGCTAGCCCCCGTCACGTCGGCGGCCGTCGCTGTTGCGGCCGCGCGGAACAGGCCTTTTCCGGCGCCCTCCGCCCTTGATGCCATTGCCGCCGCCGCCGTTGCCCTCGCCTTCGCCGCAGTGGCTGCTGCTGCTGCTGCCGCAGAAGCAGCAGCATCACCGCCGTCAGAGCTTCCGCAGGCGGACAGGGAATCTCGGCCGCCGCCGCCGCCGTCTGACCGCCGCTCCGATTCGTTGGTTTTCGCAATGAGAAACGCCGCTAGCATCTTCTGCTCCAGCTCTGCCGAGCCGGCACCCCCCGGGCAGGGTTTCGGCAGGGCAAGGTCAAGCGCAGCATGGGAGAGCACCCCCGGTCGCCACAGCTGGAGTGGTGGCGGCCGCGGCGATGACCTCAAGGGGGTTCCTGGAATCGGGACGGGGGGTCGGACCCAGGGGGGCAAGGAGGGGAAGAGAGAAGAGGTGGGTCACAGGAGGCTGCAGAAAGGAGTCGAAAGGAAAGCCACGGACGGGCCGTGGCACGTACGATCTGAGCGCACGATGACGATTATCGGCGAACAACCTATCGGAGCGGGCCTGCCACACGTGCACGTGGGGCGCCGCACACATGGGAAGGAAGCTCCAGGAAAAGAGGCCGCGAGCGACGGAAAAACAACACTGCTGTTCACTAACGTAAACACTTGTAGCGGGGCGACAACACACGCAACAGACAACGAACGCCCTCC